AGTATTAGTGTGTGTGTGTGTGTGTGTGTGTGTGTGTGTGTGTGTGTGTGTGTGTGTGTGTGTGTGTAATATAAGAAAATATTAATTCATCTGTTTTGATGTTTGATAGATATATGTGTATACATACACACCTACATCAAGACAAATTATATAATGTTTTCTTATATTAAATATACAGAAATAAAAAAAATACAAAATTTCTAGTAATTTATGGAATACTTTAATACATTAATACATGTTATTATTTTAAAATTTATTATCCTTCTGTTTAGAGAATAAAAAGTTTTGATAAATAAAAAATAATTTTACAAACTAATTAATTGCATAAGAATGTAATGTAAATTATTTTCTTCAAAAATATTCAATATTGTTCTACGCTTATTAATGAAGAAATAAAATGTTGGTAGATTCATTGGTATATCCCTTCTCTTCGCGTTCGCGTATACAATCAGTTAGGATCCCCAGTTAGTGAGCGTGGATACTTGGTGGCATGAAAACTGTTCAGTGCTACTTTTTCCTTCGAAAGGGTCGCGTACTGAATGAACGTTAGTCCTACACTTTCTAGTGTTAAATATTATTAAATCACATCACGTCGCGCAATTGCGAATTATTATAATGTGATAATAATATTAAAATAAAATTTATATCTTTTGTATTAAAACAGTGCAGATATATGCAGAAATATTTGTGTAATTTATAAAAGTTCGTGCTTTAGAAGAAATTAAGAAGTTAAACACATTAATTGAAGATACATCTAAAATAATACACACAAAAAAGGCTAAATAAAGGATCTAGCTATGAGCAATCCGATAAAATTTTATTTCAAGAAGCGTCTTGTACAACAAACTAATATGAAAGAGAATGAAATAAATATTAAGAAGACAGAAGGATCATCTGCTATTTGTAGAAAAGAATATTTAATAGACAGAAATTTATCAATTATGACTGACAAGCATCTTGAATCGGATGTTGTGGACAATGTTTGTCTACGACAACAAAAGCATGTTGACACCAGAATACCAAATTCATTTTCTACGGATTCACAAGACTCATATATTCTGATAGCATCTGAAGAACTGCCTGTTGTATTGAAAGATACAAGCTGGGAATACGTTGATCATCACGATATTACAGAAAATATACAAAATAATAGTTCCGTAAAAAAGTATTGTAGCCCTAAATGCAGTAGTGCATGGTTTTTAAAAATCCGAAGTGGAATTCTGAAGAATTGTCGAAACAAAATTCATCCTTTGACGAATAGGTGAGTGCAAAAATGTTTTTACGTAATCTTCTTTCTTTCCTTTAAATAAAAAAAATTAACTTTTTCTATTATATAAAGATTATGAAAATTTTGTTATAATATAATATCAAGCCATATAATATGTATTATACTTAAAATACTTTTTTATCTTGTTGGGATGCTTACGTCATATAAAGATAGCAATAGCTATTGTTATGAGATAAAATCGTACGGATTTTATGCAACAGGATACACGTTTCAAAAATAACATGGACAATCAGAGATAACATTAATTAGAGATAACATTAATCATACTCTATTAATATTCACTGATATATATAGTATCGTGATTATAAAACACTATTATGATTCAAAATAATGTAATACGTGTCACAAATGTTCAGTAGATTTATTTTTAAATGTACAATAAGACACTATTATATGCAATTCAGTGATACATATCATTATATAAAAATATGATTATAATGCTGATTTGTTGCTCGTTATCAATTAACGGTGCATCATTCTTTCTAGAAGTCCCTTGTTATTATCGCAAATTATTTTGCGAACTGATAATGTATACGCAAAAACAATTTATCTGTTCACATCCAAATGTGACGGATGTTTCCCGATAATACCTTTCTCACGGTCTTTTACGGAGACACTTGATAGTTTACACGTGGCAGGGGAGTTTAAAGACCCTTAGAAACGCAAGCGTAAAACCTAGAGGTAAAAGTAGAGGTTCTCTTTACGCAGGGAAACACGCAGTTCGCTTCACGCAGGGAAACACGCGTGAATGAGTCATCCCAGTAAATGATAGCAAAAAATACGTCATCCTAATAATGGTGAAAGTACACATATGCATAGCCGAGTAAATATCAAATGGGAAGATATACGGTTGTGCGGTTGTTTTCACCTTTTTAATAACTTTTATTATTTCTATCATTTCTAGCATACATTACCTACGAACTGATACTAAATAACAGATAATCTTAAATAATTTTATTTATTGTGTACGTATAATTTTAAATACGTAAATATAATTTTGGTATTTGAAAATAAATATATCACATGAAGTCTATCACATGAAAAAAAAAGAAAAAATATTATATACGTTCTTCTACTGAACAATTAATGCCGTGATATTTGTTAATATACAAATAAGTTTAAGTGATAAAGTGGATATGAAGCTCCAATTAATAGCAAGATTAATAACAATTTCCTTGTAGCAATTATATCTTTCAAATATATTTCCATACATGTAATAGTATTTATAATATATTTTCGTTTTTTATTTAAATTTGTATTATCTCATGTTATGTTAAGGCTTAGATACGTTGTATTATTCCGACAGGCACTCTTTCAGACGCTATAATTTATATTTAATTTTATACTACTCCGTTAACTTTTAATAGGCAGATGTACAAAAGCAACGAATATCATTAAGAAAAATCATTATCACGTAAAACTAAATATTCATTACGTACATTATGTAGCCACATACACCTTTTATTTAGCATTGCACGAGCGAACATTACGTGTGCCGCGTGCAGGCGTGCGCGACACTCTTGCGCGGCACGTGTATGTAGTGGATTTCCTGCACGCATCGAACCTGAACGTAGGAGGGTTCATGACTCCGTGATTCGATATGCCTTTTGTGCCTATTCTCTCGAAAACAATACTTTCAACCTGTCGGCTAAGAACACGAGACTTTCAATGACGTGATGTGTCGAATAATCTCAGTTCCATTCGTACACTCGTCAATATGTGAGTGCAAAAAAAGAAAATATATTACATAATTTTGATAAATTCAATATAACTTGCTTTATATATGCTTTATTTGAGAAGTAATAAAATAATAATTTTTTGCTTTTTTAAATAAAGTAAATATAGATTTGTGCGCTATAACTCATACAAAAAAATTGAAATATTTTAATCAAATTTTAATTCTTTTGTAATGCTATAATTAACAATTAATTAGTTGAGATTAATGATTTGTTAAAACAAAAATTGTAAACAAAGTATTATTGAAATGTATATGCACATTTGCATGTGCGATTATAAATTTGTAACAGCTTTAATCCAATCTCGATAATATGAAACTTTGACATATACGCCAGCTACTTTTGCACAGCCATGACCAAAAGACACGATGCCGTAAATTGTTCTTCTACTGGCCAATGCTCCTCCGGAGTCTCCGAAACAGGCATCTTTTCCTTGAGTTCCATAACACAAATGATAGTCATCTTTGACGAGTATTGCGTACGAAGAAGTAGCATTAATGCAGGTTTCGAACGGAATATGTTGAACATAAACACCCATTAAAGTTTCAGGCTTTGTTTTCTATAAATAGTTGTAAAATAAATCATATACTATTTGTTTAATGAATTAACAAAAAGATAAAAAGAAATTGTAAAAATCTTTTATAAAAAAAGAGTTAAGTCGATTACTCGCATTTTTTCGAAGTTTATTGTTGCCGCTTTTCCGCGATGCTGATTGGTTCTTTTGCTGTGCTAATTTCGTGAATTACTGTCTATTTACAAATGACAATTTGTAAAAGGCGGGCGAGGTTAGTAGCGAATGAAATTTTGAATCGGTTTTGAACAAGGACAAAGATAAGATGAACAAGGATGAATGAGTTTTTGTTTTTCATCATGACAGTATGTCGCTACCATCAACGAATAATATAAAAATATATAATATGAAAAGCTTAGTGGTGCGCGCCTGTTATGTTCTAGTATATTAAAAAATACAAATATAAACAAAAAAAATATCGAGGAGGAATCCTCGTTTACAAAATATATTGCAATTAAATTTTCTTATTTTAATTGTTAATTTGTAAAAAAGAATAAACAATACAGAATATTAAAAATAAGTATGTTGATTACAAGCTCACTTACTCTTTTATCATCTATGTCTCCCCAGCCACAAACTAATAGTTCACGCGGTATTTCATAAGTTGATCTTGGTAAATGAATTGGTCGAACGGTTCTCGAAAAACGAAATGGTGGTTTCACTTCAACCAGTGCGATATCGTGATCCAACAACTTCGAGAACCAAGAGCGATACGTATTATTGTATACATGAATATTCGTTACTCTATGCACAGATCCACCTCTGTCCATTTTATTCGATCCAGCCCGTACATAATATTGTGTCGACGATACTGAAACTCTAGAAAGTAATAAAACATCAAAATAAAGCGTTATAACTATGAAAAATGAATTTGCCATGCTTATAAGTTTAACAAAAGATTAATGATCTAATTACAATGTGTTATAATATAATTATAATAAAATTAATAAATATAATATATAACAGTGGATTATAACGTTAAAATGCTATTACAAACAATGAAGAGCGGTAATAGCCCATGTCTTCGATAATATACTGGCACCACACAGAAATCCACGTGAATTATGTAAAGAGAGCTGTAAGCATTATTATTTTTAAAAGATATTCATAAAGTAGATTATTATATCTATTGTGCAAACGTATAATTAAAATAATATTAACCATGAAAGGTCTATATTTTATGTCAATTGATTGTCCTCCGATAATTTTTGATTGCGCTTTATGAGTTGCATTTCCATTTATTTCTTTAAACAGGATGCCTAGATAACGTGGAGAATGTTAAATAATTTGTGGATATGATTTGTATTGGAAATATCTGTCATTTAATTATTACAATTATAACTTATAACATACACTTATACATAATATACAATAATAACTACAATTATTAATAAACATTTTCTTATTCTACTATTAACAATAATATAAAGGCAATCATTCATACCGATGAAATAGAGAATTATGATTGCTCCGCGCATTTTTACTGACTGTGTCATCGTACAATGTGATCGAGCATATGTAAAGCACGACAACCCATTTACAGTTGTAAATGTCAGACATGATATATTTCATGAACGTTTAACAGCGACAAGTGCAGATACTAATGCAATTACGGTATCATAACAAATCAAGTCTAGATGTGATTTATGTAAATGCTACAAAGTGATAATTTAAAATTTACTATTTTCCGTTAACAAATTGTACAATACTCATTATTAGCAAAATTATTTAAAAAATTATTTAAAAAAGTTTATCTTAAGAAATATAAAATTGCAATTTGTGTTTTAATACTGCGGTACAATATAAACTTAGTTAATAATTTTTTAAATTACTTAATAAAATTACTTAAAGATAATAGTCTAGTTTAGTTCAGATAAATTTACACTTAATTTCAAAAATTATATTAAGTAAATAAATAATTATGTTAAGTAAAAAAATAAATTATTTTTGCAAAAGTTTTTATCCAGAAACTTTTCTTGTTTACTAAATGTTTGTTGAATTAACATTAAATTCTTATTCTTTTCATATAAAAATTTTATCTCTGCAATTTGTGCGGCAAATATTATCTATATATGCGTAATATTAAAAAAATATATGCCATAAAAAATATATTACTTAATTTGCATAGAATATAACATTTAAATAAAAAATTCAAGGAAATACTTGAGATAAACTAATAACTTTTGTTTGAAAAAATTTTATTTGTATTTTTTATACACTTTATATTAAGCATTTATATGTTAATTAAGCATTTATATTTGATATGACAAAATATTTTTCCACATATTACATAATTAATTTTTGATATAACAAATATATACACGTGTATTTAATTACGTTAAGAATATCACAAATTACTTATCGTTTTTTAAAGTAGTCGTTATTAAATAAGAATTATTTATCCCATGTATAAATTTGTTTTCAACAGAATTTACATAGTCTTCTCTGTAAATATCAGTAATTTTCTCAAAAGCATCATCTAATATTTCCGAAGAAATTTTTTTAAATATATCAATTTCTGCAAAATCTTTTAGAAATAATGATCTACGTTCACGTTCTGGTGAATTCCATTCTTCCTTCAATTCTTCAACATTAGATTCATCTTTATGCTCTCCCAAACAGAATAATGTAGAAACAAAACTAATTGTTTCCATGAATATAGTAACCAATAGTAAATTATTTGCCAGACATGCTAAAGTACTTTTATTATTTTGGCTTTTCATTTTACTTACATCATTCATTGAATGCATTAGTCTTTGAAAAGCAATATCACTTTCCTTTCTTATTTCTACAAAAACATGTGTAATTAATTTATATAATATTGCGTATAAACTATTAATCCCCAAATTTTTTAATAAATTTCTAATTAATTAATTATTATGAATTATTTATAAATACAGCTATAAACTTAAACTTAAAATATATATCTTTTAAGTAACAATAAAAAATTAATAATTAATATGATAAAACATTTATTTCTCTATATGTGATAATACTGTGGTAATAAATACTTACGATCTTCCTTACGATAAGTTATAAGATACTTCATTTCATTATTTTCGTCAATTTCATCACTTATGCTGTCTGTCATATTAATTGGCGAAACATCAGTAAAATTCGATGCATCAGCGTCCGTATCATCTGAAGTTACACATCCGAATAATTCCAAAAGTTTCATCATCCATTTTGATAAACAGTTAAAAATTTTTAAATGGCTTTGCCACGATTCCTTGAATGAATTTCTGATACCATAAATAAAAAATTTTTGCATTTCTAATGAGGAACGATGAAAATTTCCGATGGTAATCATTGCTTCTTTTAATACTCCGTTTTTATATGTATCCAATGATACAGACATCTTTTTGTATCTAAAAATTATGTGTAAATTTAAAAAAGAAGATATTTTATAATTAGACGTTTTTGATATTGTAAAAAAGTTAAACTATAACACATATTACTATATTATAATATTATAATATTTACAAGATCATTAAGTGCTATATAATTACTAAAACATTATTAACCTTAGAGCTGTTTTTTTATTCTTAGAGGCATTTTTTAAAAGTGCATTCAACCTTTTTTGGCCTTCCTGATAAATCGCAAAATACTGACATATGTCATATGTGAGTTGTCTTCCCCATCTGCTTCTCGAGAGAACATTTCCGAGTTTATTCGCAATAGGATAAAGAGATGATCGTCGAGATATCCGTTGATTTAAAATATTCTCATAAATGTACTTCACTTGTCGCGTTGTAGTCTTCGGCAATTTCCGATAGAATTTACAGCGAACGATTGTACTACCGTCTTCGTCAATATGAATCTTGCAGTCACTTAAATCTTCAATAACAGTTGACCATGGTTTGGCAAAAAGTCTGTGATGAAACATTACTTTGTTCAAATCTTCTTGATTTTTTGATGATACGCAAGTTACGAAGTGTTGCAACTCTTTGATACAATCATCGTAATGATTAATTCTTTTAATAAGTGAATGACATAGCACTATGTGTAATTGTTCACTAGTTGTGTTGTTATTTGGTACAAAACGGAAGAATGCTCGATCTAAGTTGGATTTAAACAATTTCACACTATTATCGGGTGAATCTTTCGCTAAATTTACAAGGATTCGATGAAGATTAAAAGATAATGTTGTATTTTTTGTATCTCTTATTGGCAATAAGCATTTGAACAATTTTTCACTAAATTTAGCAGCATCGTTTATAGTACTAAAAAATTTAAAATCCTTTGTTATCTTGCGTGGTGATATTTTCTAAAATAAATATTAGATTATAAATATCATTTATGTACAATCTCAATTTATAAATAGTTAAAGGCATTTATTCTCAATATAATTGAATGATTTATTTGAAGCTATTGATGAATCACACTCTTATTTTCAATTATAATTACTTCGAATATCTAGGAGAATCTATTATTTTTCAGTACTTTCAAACTCACCTTATCTGTATCTAAGATTATATTATATGTTTTGAAGTAATGATCGATTGCGAATTGAGCCTCTTGTCCTAGTGCAATTAAATCACTTAATAGAAGTGATCCTTGGATCAGACTTTCGATAAACCAATTTTTAGAGATTGTTGAATTCCACAATGTTTGTTCATATTGACGAAGTGATGTACTTAACCCAATAGCTCGCGCAAAATCCATAATTTTCGCACGTATAATTTTGCTTATCTCGCTAATTGTATGATGCAAACCGCTTCCATTAGAAGATGAGAGTTTTAGGGTTATTGGTTGAACGATCGGTCCAGCTAATCTTGTCAAGAAATGTTTTATTATTACTTCCGCATATTGGATTTGTCTTGGATTTATCAGAACAAACGATGCATCATTCGGTTCAATCTTTTGGAATGTTCGCATTTCATTATGATAAACATTTTCCGCTGTCGTATAAAGCACGGTAATTTCTGCGAAAAATAAAAGCAAAAAATTATTAACTGATTATTAATTTATTTTGTATAAAATTAAAACTAATATATTACCGAAGAATATAAACAATAGAATCAATTTGTAACACATGGTTGAGTTAACTACGTTTACAGATAACTAGCTCGCTTTTATGTAGATTTTTTTAGACGAACATCATGTAATTTATTTCAAGAACAATAGTAAAATATTTCATGTAAAAAGCTAAATCTTCCTTGTTGTAAGCTATATACATTGGCGTTTATTACAAAAGTGAAAAATTTATGTTATCAGTTTAAACAGACGTTAATGTTACCTCATAAATAACATAATGCGATAATAATAATGCAAAGACGCTATTATTATATTTTATATTCAAGACTATAAGAAATAATAATCAATTGCTATTGATCGTGATTTTTATAATAATCAATTGTTTATAATTTGTCGTTTTAATGATTTTGAAAATTAAAATAAATAAATTAAAGTTTAATGTAAAAATTAAAGTTAGCATTCCCATTTTCATATCATAATACCGCAGAAACATTATTGATGTTTGCTTCAACGCACTCGTGAGAGATGTGTGTATATATCAAGCGAAATGGCGACGTGGCGCCTGCGTTCAAGTACCGCAACGATCGCGACGTCAGTCTGGATAGCAGCTTTTACCAGGAATCAATTGCCGCACAGGTACTAGCCTAGAATTAGTAATGGAGTGCATTTGCGTTGCTGTCTTCTTGTGTTTACAATAAAAAAAAATCGCAAAAGATATAATCAGAACTTTAGATTGCACAATTTTAAAGAATTTCATCCTTATTATATTATTAACAATAAAATAATGAAAGTGACATACATCTTTAAAACTATTTTATTTTTTATAAAGTGAATTAAATATACCATTATATTAGTGTTCATAAACATTTATTAACACATTTATTATGTAAATATTTATATTTGTATCATATGTATACTTCAAATCTAATTAATGCCGTTGCTATAATAAATTTTGCTGCAAAATGCATAAAGAATCTCTTTTTGTATTGGTGACTTTTTGGCATTAATTTTACATATAAGCTTATAAAAAAGTCACCGGCATAATAGATGATGTCATCGAGAGAATGTCATGAGAGAACAAACTCTACGAATGTTGAGTCAGATACACAACTGTCAGATGATTATTTAATTAGCCTGACGTCACAATTATAGAAGATAAATTACAAATGCAATCGATCAAGCAAATATTACTTTCCTACGTTAACATATTATTACACACATTATTAAATTTTTATTTAATTAAAAATATATATATATTAAAATAATTTATTATATACTTTTTTAGAAATAATAACTTTAATATTAATTCAATTTTAAAAATTCTTTGTCTTTCTTTTAGAAAAAGCACAAAGAAGAGTTATTTAAATAAAAAAAATCAATAAAATTTATATGTTTTCTATATCTACAATTTATAAATTAATTTTAAATATAACTTTATATTCAATGTACATGTATAAAAAATAGATTTCTTAATGACATTATTATTTTTATAATGACATTATTTCTCAAAAAATTATATTTTTGAATAAAAAAGAAAAATATAAAATTAAAATCGAAATTATTCAAATAACATTTTGTAAAACATAATGGATAAAAGAAAGGAGAGCTTCCCGACAATTGACAATAGGCGCCATCTACCGAGCGACTAAAAGATACAAGCGAATGGTGAATATTCCATTGATGAATAAATGGAACGCTTACTAGTCGCACCTGTAGTCGGCTTTAACTCCAGCCGGCATCATTTTGTTGCGAAACATACTTAAATTCCTTACGCGAGGTCAATATCTGGACAAGGAATGTTTCTGTGAGTGCGCGAATATTGCACATATACGACTTTTTGCAAGTTACGTATTATCAATCATAATACAAAGTTAATATTTGCATGCTCAAAACATCTCTTGGAGTATGCTAGACCGTATATAAGTGTGTTCTGATTCGTTAAGTGAGAAAGAAATCGAGCGAAAATGGATGAAGAAGCAATGTGGAAAGGTTTTTATCAGAAGATCGTTGAAGAAAAGTTAGCAAAAGAGAATGAGCAACAAGAAAAATCAGAACATGAATTGAGGTAAAATTATTTTAATTAGGTCATTATTTATTAACTTAATTATTCTATATATAGTGTTTTTTGACAGGTATTTTAAGCAAGACAGTTTCTTAGGAAATTTTGTATTATTTGTTAAAGAAGAAAATGCGTATGTAAATTATTGAAAGAAAAATAATAATAAAATAATTGAATAAATATATATTGAATAAACATATTGTCAAATAATTATAATAATGGAAAAATTATTTATTAGTAAAATCTTACATAGAAATATGAAATATCTATAGCAATATTTAATTTAAAATGATATATATCGAAAGAATAAAGTAATCATCATATAAATGCATTATTTCAATACATTATTTCCTAATAATAGTCTCTTTTATGTATATCAAAATTCTGAAACATCATCTATATAATATAATAAATATATATAAAAAATATGTTAATCTCAAGCAAAAGAAGAATATGAATAAAATTGCTATAACAATTTACTTCCAATGTACTGCAACAATACTGCTAATTAAGGTTAAATTTATTATTTATTAAAAAGCTAAAATTTTTTGTGCAAATTATTTAGATATACGTGTTTTAAATAGTGCTACATTAATAAAATTAGAGAAAGCAAGATGTCATAAAATATAACTTATTTTGGCACGTCGATAACGATGAGATCTGCATATTCATAATCTTCGTGATTAATGATAATGCTCCGTGATAAACGAAATGCATGCTCTTAACCTATTAGTAAAAGATCAAATTAAATCGTCTATAGTTAGGCGTGTATGTAGGATCTATTAATAGAA